ATGGGACGTCCATAACTATCCTTGTAGTACCGAGTGGGGCACATTCTGGCCCAGTGACCGCGTTTGCCGCAATTGAGGCATATTGAGTCGCGTGCTGGACATACGCCGTTGCGTGGGTGAGGGTACCCTCCGCAGGTGGCGCATACAGGTGAGCCGACTTGCACCTCGCCTAGCTGTTCTTTTTCAACCATCTCCGATGGTTGCTCTACGGGCGATTGTTGGACGTTTACTGCCGGGTTTATAACGGCCAAGACACGCGTCTGTGCTTCGAGGTTGATGCACACGCTGTCAACTACGTCTAGGAGTGACTTTCCCCTGACCGACATATTCGTATACCACGTCCGCGGGTGACGCGGCGCGCCTAATACGCATGTAGAGCCCTGCGCGGATTATTGTCTCCGTGAGACCCCTCTACGCGCTAGTCTCACATAGCGGGCAATTCTAGCTAATAATACGTCGGAGAGCTGCACGAAGTCGCTCGGCAAGACCGTCAGCGCCGCGACGTATGCCTCCATGGCATATGTCGACGTCGGAAAGAGAAGACGCGCTATGTCCGAAATGAACTGTTCCAAGGGTATGCCAGGACCCCGGTCTACCCTTGCGAGGCGCTGTCACAGAACACGCCCGCACGTAACGGACGAGGGTGAGTAAAAAGGGATTTTTACGGGGAACATGACTACTAGCGAGCGCTCGATAGCAGTAACAACCCGCCTCGACGTGGCCGAGGGTGCCCATCCTCAGGAGCACCCGGCACCCGAGTCGGCACACCCTTACCAGCACACTCATGCTGTTAGGCCCTCGCACCTCGCTAACCCCCAAAAGGCGTCCGGCCATTCCTGCTATATTGTTCTTGACTGCAACCGAAACACCACCATCAGCGAAGCGTGTAAGCAAAACACCCCGCCGCGTTCTTTGGGGACTGTTCGAATTCAACGTTGTGCCCTTCGGCATCAAAACCTCGCCGGGAGAGTATCAAAGAGCAATGAATCAAGCTTTGATGCGCTTCTAGGCCAGGGCGTCGAATGCTATATTGACGATGTAGTCATTTACGCTGATAGCGGACAGGAATGCCTTGAACTCCTAAATAAGGTGATGCGAATCTGTAGGTGATGCGAATCTGTAGGTGATGCGAATCTGCATCGGCAATGGCTTCTTCTTGAAGCTGGCCAAATGTGAGTGGCTCGGCGAGGAAATCCCCCTGATTGGTCATGTCGTAGGGAAGTGCGGCATCAAGCCCCGGCCTGGAAAGGACTCCCAGGGTACTCCGACAAGGTCCAGCCCTTACAGGAGCTCATGAACAGCCAAAAGACCCAGAGACTCCCACGAAGTAGCAATGCGACAGGTAATCGAGGACCTCGTCAATGCTGATTACTTGGTGGCTCTCCACCCGGAAGCGCAGCTTGTACTAAATACCGACGCCAGTCAGGAGCGATATTGGGTCAGGTCAACGATAGCAGGTTGAGAGTGATCGAATACGGTCAAGTACTTTGTGACCAAGTAGAACACTTACATACGACTAAGACCCACCCTGGTCCTTACCGACCACCGCAATCTCACTTTCCGCGCGACGGCTTAATGTGTCAGAAGTGAAAGCTGGCGCCATTCCCCCCCCCCCCCAAACGACGTAACAGATAGCAGGGGTTTTTTTGGGGGTAAAAAAGGGGCTTTTTTGGGGAGACGCAGAGTAGGAACCCAAAACAACAGCAGAAACGTGACAGGGAGAGCTAAAGACAGACTGCATGGACAAGCGAATGATAACAAATTACAGAGTAGTAACCAAAACAACAGTAGAAACGCGAAAAGCAGAGTTAAAGACAGACGGCATGGACAAGCAAACGATAACAAATTACGGCTCCCTCCGCGTCGTCCTCCAGCAGGATGATGGTCCGGATCCCTGACAGGGGTGCCCAGACACCCGCCGGCGTCTCCCGGATGACCCTCCGGGCCTCCTCCAGGGTACGCTCGCCGGCCATGACGTCCAAGATGAGTGCCTTGACGTACGCGCTCATCGTGGACGTCATGGCCGGTGAGCGTACCCTGGATGAGGCCCGGAGGGTCATCCGGTCGTGGACGTGGTTCGGCTGCAGCTTCCCCCACTGATGGCTGAAACAAGCCAATTCCAGGAATTTATGCTGGGCCTTGCCGCGGAATAGCGGGTACCTCCCACAATCCTCCGCGTAGTCTCCCACGACCACGGTGTATCCTTCTTCCTGCATCCGGGACAGAAGCGTTGACTTCCCGACGCAGGCCGTCCCGTCAACCGCCACCGTCCACGCGAAACCTTTGCCTACTGCCATCATTACTCCTACCTTAATTTTACCAATTTTTTTTTTTTTTTTGTAACCTTCAGTTCAAAGTTGCATCGATCATACCTGTACGGGATCAATTTTTCCTCAGTCCATAACCTCATGTCCGGCAGCAGACATCCCGCCTTTGTTTCTTCCTCCGACCATTCTCGCCACTTTGTGTTGCTCGGATCTTGACCTTCCCATCCGCGCTTCTTGATGCCATCATCTATGATAGCCACATGCTCCTCTAGACTTGTAACTCCGCCGCTTGCTTTGTTCCATTCTAGGAACGTGTCACAATATTATCGTCCATTTCCACCCAATCTTTTTTTGGGTTCTGTAGCACAACAGTTCTTCTTTCTGTTCAAGTATCCTTCAGCCACTCTCATACCTTGCTCATTAATGACCTTGCTCATTAATGACAAATATTCCATCGGCAATTTCGCGAACTCATTAGAGCTAATCCCAGCAATCTTAGCGGAATATCTGATTGATTGTGGAGAATCCTGTGAAATGTGGGTGGAAGTAGAAACTTCTGTGAGTGCTAAGCCAAAGCAACAACTTACCCAGGTTCGGATGCACTCCACCGAGCAAGACCATCCCATCGTCAACTCTGTCGATCACATTGGCCCACTTATGGCCTGCCATTGCTTTTGTCAATCTATTCACCATCGCCCCAGGACTCACCGCAAGCATTGCAAGTGGGAACGGTGCACGCAATCAGCGTTGTAATATTTCGTTCTATCCCCTGCCAGCCTTTTTGCTGCGTTTGGCAGAAACATGTTGTTTGAGTCCCTCATTGTGGACATGTGCGGATGTGCTTCAATGACAGAGGCGCCGCTCCCAGAGGCGCCGCTCCCAGAGGCGCCGCTCCACGTCGAATGGTCGATAAACTTAAGTAGCTATTGCAGTCGATTGATGAACTCCTCGAACACATTGCTTCATAACATTGTGATCGAGCTAGTAGTTGGACCTTATCAGTGGCTGAGGTCAGTGGCTGAGGTCAGTGGCTGAGGCGGTGTAAGTGGCAGCAAGTATCGAGCGACAGTCGGCTCCAATCATAGTTGGTACTGTACAAAATTTATCAGTCAATAATTGTGCGCAAGAATTGTTAGATTAGACTTATTTGTTTCACTTATATGTTTCATAGCGGAGACGGCGTCTCCCTATTTCTATGTCCTCGTCCGGAGGTCTCTTGCGGGCATTACTTTGTGTTGGCCATTGTGGGCGAGTGATGTAGTTCGGTATGTGCGAGTTGTCATGTGTGTTGTCGTGTGTGTGACAGAACTTGTAGTTCGCCCATAATCGATCGTGTGTCTTTTCCTGTCTATTTTTAAATTGGCCGTAAGTTGTCGACTTGGTATATCGGCGGGATTAAACTCGCCGTGGATATGGTAGTATGACGTCTTGGTGTCTGTAGTTTTTAGTAGTCTCAGTATCTTATTTGCGAAGTAGTACGTATCGCCTTTGTCGTCAGCGTCTGGTTTATTCAGCGCTGTGTTGATTCAGCGTCATCCGTAAAAACAAGCAGTGGTTTGCGTACAGTGCGAACGTAATCTTTTATTTGAGTCACGTGCTTCTTTAATATCATGTAGCCACCTGTGTCATTAGTACGTTCGCTCCTTGAGAGAAAGTAAGTCCGACCGCCACATTGTTGGTATCTATGTAAAGCCTTAATGGTTTGTTTGGTTGCGTTGTGTATCGTATAGACGGTCAACTTCGAAAACAGTTACAGTAGATCCTGAAGATCTCGCCATCTTTTACCCTCAGTTTACTTACGATTCGTTGTTGATAGCGTATGCTTATAGCGTCTGTGCAGCTTTCATTATATTTGCGTGAACTGCTGTGCACCCCAAGCAGCTTTGTATATTTGGGAATCTGCCACCGTCATCTATGTACGGTAGTAGCGGTCGACAGTCATGCGGTCTTTTACCACTCGAGTTGGTAGCGTGCGTAAACTTGGGTGCAGTTCAGTTAGCAGAGGCTGTAACCAGCGGTACTTAGTTCGTGATCTTTCGTGGACATACGCCCGTGATACCTTGGTCACACTTTACTCTTTCAGTAAAGGCAGTAAAGGCCCATGTGACTAGTGGCCAGCAGCTCGGGATATTAGGGAATCGGCCATCGGTTGTAATGAATGGTAATAGTGGCCTACAGTCATGAGTAACACGGCCCTTCACTATACGTGGTGGTAGCGTAAAGTTGGGTTTGTCTGGTAGTTGTCGTAATTTGCCTTGGTCTAGCAGCGTCTTGGTCCAGGCTCGGTAGATCTGTATCTGTTTGATAGTCTTCGGCGTTCTGCCGTGGTAGTTCGGAAGTTGCTTAACATTCAACCTTTCGTTAAATGGTGGAACAGTATGTGATTGCCTTTCGCAATCAAGGCCCCTTTTGCATTATTACTCCTTCTTTTCTTCGGGACGCACGGTCAAGGACTACCCTTCCCACTCTCGCCCACTCCCTACTGCCACGCTCTTCTTTTGTTGTTCTGCCGAATTCCAGTGGCCTTTCCGAATTCCAATTTCTTTGTTTCCAAACCGCACATCCGAAACTTCGGGGCTTCGAAAACACTCCTTCCTCGCATGTCAGTAAACACAGCCAGCCTCAACTACCGCCGACTGGTGGCTGTTTGCAGGATCGGTGGAGGGTATGCTGAAATGTCATTTGGGCCCGATGGATCATGCGACCTCGTTCATTATCGTTTTGGGGACAAGCAACGCAAAGCAACCGTAATTTTTACCGAGGGCTCGAGGGCATTGTTACTGTCAAAAAGAGTGATTTATCTGTTTATCCCCCCCAAAATTCTGTCCTCCTATTTTCTGAATAAAGTT